GCAAATAAATTTTGGGGGGGGGGGGCAGGGGCAGCTGACCCACACGCATGGACACGCGCTGACGTATGAAACACCCTGCCGTTTTATCTGCCGATGCTTAACGAGTATTTTGAGGTTTTAAATTTCCTACTGAGCACAGGCTGTTGGGTGGTGTTGAGTAGGATGCCCACCGGATGGTCAGAATCCTTGTAATGTGCTGTCGCCTAACCCTAACCCTAAGCCTAACCCCCCCTCCCCCACCCCGCAGGTGGTCGAGCTGAAGCCAGGGGGCAAGGACATCACAGTCACCAGCGGAAACCGTATCGCGTACATCCACCTGGTGGCCGACTACCGGCTCAACAAGCAGATCCGACCGCACTGCCTGGCCTTCCGCCAGGGCCTCGCCAATGTGGTCAATCTCGAGTGGCTGCGTATGTTTGACCAGCAGGAGTTCCAGGTAACGTCCAGCCACCCCCCGGGGGGGGGCATCAGGGCAGCATCTGCCTCTTTCCCAATCCGGTCCTCGCGGACCCACAGCCGGTCCACGTTTTTGTTCCCTCCCAGCTCCCTGTCAGGAAGTCCCGGATTGGGAACCATTGATCTAGAGCCCCCCTATTCAACTCTGGCCCTCGTTTCCAAACCCAGGCCTTGTTTTCAGTTCTCCCAGGTAGTTAGTTTAATAATTACTGATTCTGATTGGTCAGAGGCTTCACACCTGGCTCCCAGGTAAAGGAAGGCTGGAAAACCAGCAGGGCTCGGACCTCGAGGACCGTGATTTGAATAACCCAGGTCTAGAGGTTGAATGTAAAATCACTGCAGTAAAGGTGAATGTTAAACCATAGTGCAATCAAAATTTACATAGACTAATGACAGAGGCTGCGATGCTCTGTGCCAATCACGTCTCCAGTATCCACGACAACATCCGGACACTCCTAGCAGCATGTGTGTATATAGGCTACTGATCGTGCAAGTAGTGAATGAAATTAACTGAAAACTTAAATATAAATATATATATATATATATATATTATATATATATATATGATTAAGGATTAAAGTATTTAAGAAAAACTTTTAGAATATGTTTGGATAACAAATTATATATCAGTACTAATTTTAGTTTTATTTTGCGAATGCTTGGATTGAGAATATAAGGCACTTATGCAAGTGAATCAGATGTTTCAGTTTTTCATCACTTTCAATAATTAAATCAATAAATGTGAAAAATGACTTTGAGGGGTATAAACGCAGGCGGCTTCCCATAATTACAGGTGTTCCATGAGTCGCACAACTTTCACTTAACCGTGACTTGACGGCATAGCCGGCAGTAAACAGGATTTGACACTTGTGCCCTTTTGCGTCGTGTCCAGGTGTTGATCTCCGGCGCTCACATCCCCATCTGCCTCGACGACCTGAAGAAGTTCACAAACTACTCGGGTGAGACATGGTCCCGGCGGACGAGCGCAGGCGGTGGCTGTTTGGGGTCGATCGGCGCGCTAACGGGACCGTGTTTTATTTCGCCAGGCGGGTACTCCGCCACCCACCCCGTCATTAAGATCTTCTGGGAGGTGGTGGAGAGCTTCACAGACGAGGAGAAGCGCAAGCTGTTGAGGTTCGTCACCAGTTGCTCCAGGCCGCCGCTCCTGGGGTTCAAGGTGAGCATGCACCTTCCTCTCCTACCAGCAGGGGGCAGTATGGGCACCCCATCTGAAAACGCAGTGTGAGAGTATCATGCTGACCTAACCCTGGGTCGGAAGCCTAGTCCATCTAGTCATCTTTGTTTATCATTTCATGCATGAATAAAATTACATGCTAGGTTATCGTGCTGGTACTTAATTGTCAACCATAAATACCTGGTGACTTCAAGGAATTTCTGGAGAGTTCCAGGGAGACTCTTAGGGTGTTTTGTTCTTTTTAATTGCTGTTGGAACAGGTGCCCCAGGCAGATAAGTGTATGCAAAACCATGTGTTAGTCTCTTGTGTCATTTTCCGTATACGATAACGCATCTGCCATTGTCGGGTAGAATCAGGCATGTAGTTAAACACAGTGCAGGCTTGTACCCGGGGGGGGGTTTGCTGACCCTTTTTTCTGCCCCCCCCCCCCCCCACCCACAGGAGCTGTATCCGGCCTTCTGCATCCACAATGGGGGTAACGACCTGGAGCGGCTTCCGACGTCCAGCACCTGCATGAACCTACTGAAGCTGCCCGAGTTCTGTGACCCGCAGCAGATGCGTAACAAGCTCCTGTACGCCATAGAGTCCTCGGCAGGCTTTGAGCTCAGCTGAGTGGCGCCCCCTGGAGACGAGGGTGGGAACGGAACGAAAGGAAAGGCCGTGGGGGGCATTTTACATAAGCTGCCCCGGAAAGGGCAGGGGGGAGGGATGGCCAGGTGGGGTCCGGACTGGTCATTTCAAATGCACTTGTGGGGGGGGGGGGGGGGGGTACTGTCTTGGGTTTTAATGTTTTCATTTTTACTCAACCTTACTTGTGTTTAATAAGAACATCGACGGCTGAACCATTGCTGCTCTCACGAATACGAAAGAAAAGTGAAGAGGAAGGAGGAGGGGCTGACGGGGCTTTGGGGGAGGGTCGTAGCGAATCGGACAGCGCGTTCACCAAAGACACACCCGCGACCCACCAGGCGGTGCAGCGACACGGCAATAAAAGGGGAGGGGTGGCAGGTGGGCGAGTGCCACCGTCCGCGTCTGTGCCAGGGCTTCTCGAGAGGATGCCAGACTGTTAAATCCTGTCCATCTTCACTGGCGGCAGTCCCAATCCCAAACAGCAACAACAGAATTAAAAAAAAAAAACAAAAAAAAACACATAGTTTGTGATTTATATTATGAGTGTTATCTTTTATACATTAACACCATAGAATGCTAATGCTTTGGCCTTTCTGTAGTGTTGATTCGACACGTATTATCAGAGCTGGGCACCTGATGATGGATTTGTGAATATGTGTACGTGTTTTTGATGTCCTTCACATAGTACATGTACAGTTTTTTTTTTTCCCTGTGCATTGAATAAAACCTCTGCCTTCTGTTTCATGACTTATTAAACTTGCACCATCTTCGCGGCCCATATTGCTTGGAAATAAACCACAAAACGGATCTGTTTTAAAGCCGGAGGTCGTGCATTTCGGTTCCATGCGAATTGTTTCTTTGCAGAAATTAGGACACACTCAGTCCTTCAGGCGAATATTTTTTCAGGTTTCTCTGCACTGGGATGATTACAAACCAGCATGTCTTACCCATGTCCATTACCTGCTCTAAATAACCAGCTTGTAAAGTCAGTGGATGCTGATCTGTCTCGAATATGGGAAGATTAAGAACATGTCTCAGATGCGGTATTCTAAAGGCAGTTTGTGGGGGCTGACCTTTGACGTGAATGGAAACTTCGGCAAACGTTTTATTCCATTTTAAGTTTGTCCATTGTAAGGCATGTTTGGGGGTAGAAAATGACCCCCACGTTGCTTGAAGGATCTGCATGTAGTTTTAAGAGATGGAGTTTCCAGGTGTGCACCCTTGATAGATGAGCTTCTGGTCCCTTGATTAGACTGTGTGGGACTCTTACTGCCATAGCCACTAGGTGGTGCTGTTGTAATACTTTAAATGATAAGGATATCGCAGCAATACAACAAATTACATAGATGGCTCCCGGTTTTGGCATAATGATGACTGTATAATATACATTAAGCGTAGGTGATTTGGCTGCAATATATCGCTTAAATATCAGAAGCAATTAGCATAAAATTTGAAATACGAATGGCATTAGTAGAATAGTTTGCAGTTAAGTGTGTGTTGATGACACTTCACAAAATGCAGGGTTCAAGGTGATCTTACAGGGGCGTACATTTTTAATCAAATCAGTGAATGCTCTGTTCCTGCAGCATTTGTCTTGATTATGGTTTCATTTAAGTATGGAAATTAATTCAGACTAGGTTTTTGATAGACACATGTTTCTTCTGTAGCCGTACAGAGAATCAGGATATGTTTACTATTATGTTGTCAAAATCCTGTATTTTCCAAACCGGTTCATAGCGTACATGGTACACCCTACACTGACAGTTAATATGTCTCAAGACACAGTAAAAAAGAAAATAGATTTCCATCACCTTCATCTCTTAAAGAGCTGAAGGCTTTTCTTTTTGAAGAATGGTTGAATACTCCATTACACACAAATCAAGACTTGTAGGACAGCATTTCTGGATTGGTCTGGAGTGGGGGGCCCGATATTTTTTAGCAACACCTCTGGTTATCATTGTTGACACACCACAGCACACAACAACAAAATATGTCCTCTGCATTTAACCCTTATGTGACATCATGACATAGCAGGGGGCAGCTAATTCAGCGCCTGGGGAGCAGTGCTTGGGGGCGGTACCTTGCTCAGGATACCTCAGAGGTATTTTGCTGGTTGGGGATTCGAACCAGCAATCTTTCAAGAACAAGTGCACGTCCCTAACCATTAGGTCATCACTGCCATATATTGTTGGGTGTTTCCGTTATTTAGTCCAGTCGCTGATATAAACTCAGCAAAAAAAGAAACGTCCTCTGACTTTCAACTGTTTTTACTTTCAGTAAACTTAATGTGTAAATAAATTTATTTGTATGAACACTAAAAGAGTCAACACCATAAGACAAACTAAAAATGTTTCACAATGTGTCCCTGAATGAAGGGAGGCTCAAAATCAAAAGTACCAGTCAGTATCTGGTGTGGCCACCAGCTGCTTGAAGTACTGCAGTGCATCTCCTCCTCATGGACTGGACCAGATTTGTCAGTTCTTGCTGTGAGATGTTACCCCACACAGCAAATGTGCCAGTGTTAAATTAACACTGCATGGT